AAAATATTTCAACTTTGGCCGAAATTGTTGTTACGATACCAAACTTTATGGAGGACCTTTTACCCCCTGCACTATTTAATAGTGTATTTTAAATGTATATATATGCCCACGTGGACACAATACTATTTAAAATGATGAAATATTTATGATGTTCACGTAGGCACATATATACTTTAAAATACACTATTAAATAATACAGGAGGTAAAAGGTCTTTTCCAAAGTTTGGTATCATAACAACAATTTCGGCCAAAATTGAAATATTTTTTAGACCCTTTTCCCTTTATTATTTTGTTCTAAAATTACATGTATATTGAGTAAGCAATGACTTTAGTCTTCAGCCGACGTTGCTCTTGCATGACACATGATATTGGCTTTATCTTACTAGTATATACTTAAAAAAGGGAAACTTTCACATATAACCACTCACAAATAGCCTAATTACTCTCCATAGCTATAGTTTGATAATTACAATTCATAGCTACATGTTATATGGAGGAGAGAGGCAAGCGAGACTGGGAGAGAGAGGAGGCAAAGAGTGGGAGAAAGGTGAATTGTATATGTATATAGGTTAGATAATTGTATATTATACATATTTATTTGTATATATGGCAAGCGAGATTGGGAGAGGGAGGAGAGAGGCGAGCGAGATCGGGAGAGGGAGGAAAGTGGCGAACGAGAGAGGGCAGAGAGTGGGAGAGAGGTGAATTGTATATGTATATAGGTTAGATAATTGTATATTATACATATGCATTTGTATATATGGCAAGCGAGATTGGGAGAGGGAGGAGAGAGGCGAGCGAGATTGGGAGAGGGAGGAGAGAGGCGAGCGAGATTGGGAGAGGGAGGAGAGAGGCGAGCGAGAGAGGGCAGAGAGTGGGAGAGAGGTGAATTGTATATGTATATAGGTTAGATAATTGTATATTATACATACGTATTTGTATATTCTAGTGAATTATACATATACAAACGTGGCTAATTATACAAACTCGAAGTCAGCCCGCGTAATTAATGTATAATGTTAGTCGTGAATGGTAATTATAGCAAACTATAGCTATAATGAGTACTTAAGTAGTATAAGTTTGCTTAACCGCGTAATTTTCCCTTTAAAAAATGTCAAATAAAAATTGAGCTTTAATTCTTCTAGTACTTTCCTTATTATATATTTTTCTTCCAAAGCTTGTTATAAGGCCAGGTCCAACTCGAGCCGAGCTTGAGTCGACTTTTCATACTTCTTTCGTTCATTTTAACTTGTCATTTATTTAGTATTTCATGTGAAAAATTTCGGATAAAGCGCTCCCTAATGAAGACGATTTCGTAAATATGAAAATTCGAACCTGAGACCTCTGATTAAAGATAAATGAGTACTTACAACTCCACCATAAATAAAAAAATTATTGTTTATGAATAGAAAATTACTAAATTTACACAATTGTAGCTAGGTAACTAGCTAGCAATATTTCCTTGCATTCCTATGCTATTATTTTTTTTTGTCTATATATAACGATTAGCTGACTTACTAATAACCAATTAGTGATAAGTGGTACTCTAGAAGTTTCTGTTAATTAATATATTAGTGTGGAATTTTAGATGTTTCGACGTTGCCAGGTTCTTGGTACCTAAAATATGGGGTCAAATATGGACTCTCTTTAGGAAATTCAACTGTTAAACAGTACATGTACGGCTACCGGTCAACTACCAAATTTTTTTTTGGGGTGGGTGGGGGAGGAGAGGAGATTAGGATGCCGGATCACGGATACAACGAAATTCGAACTCTCATTAACAAGGTGATCGATAAAGTTATGGTCAACTATCCATTGTTCATGCGTAAATTGTGTAGTTAATTAGTACTAGTACAAGTTCTTGTATCATTTAAGATAGGATGGAGTTATGATATATTGATATAGTTGAATGAGTTCATATATAATTAAATATTTATTACTAATTAATAAATATTTTAATATATATTATATTTGTGAAAAATAAATAAATTTCTATGCACACGTACTAACATGTTGTATCCGCCACTTGAATACATGAATTAATTTTATTTTTACGAAGCAATGTATATAGGAGTATATTTTATTTTCAACATGTTTCAATTCAAAATATTAAAGTAAAAATTTCATGAGAACTTATTTCGACCTCATAGTTAGATGTTTTTTCTCTTTTTTCTTCTCATGGGGTATTTTTTTAAAACTAAAATTAGAGTTAGGCATATTACATTAAATGTCACGAACATATGTACTATAGATACAAATGAGGTTAGGTGGACTGCTTAAACAAGAGAATAGAGATGCATATAATCATGATATGTCGATTACCTAATCGAATCGATCTATAGTAGTATAAGCATAATTTTGGTGGGATGAATTGAAGGATCGAAAACAAATTAAATAAAAATTTAGATTATGTCAGACGGTATTTTATCATGCATTTGGTCATCTCACATAATCTAATTTTTTTCTTAGAAATCTCTTAGGTGTCCCTTATTGCTCATATCAAACGAGGCAACGACCCAAGATTTCCAAGAATTTTTTAGTAGTATTACTTTATCTTTTTTATAAATGTAAGAAGAGAATAATACTAGCTAAAGTTATAAGGTCAGTGCAAACTCATAATATCCAGATTCATTGAACACTATGTTAAGAAGTAGCAACATCATGGGATGCATCACTAAAATTGAACAGGCATGTCAAGTGGAGAATGACCACCTTTTTATTCGTCCTTTGACTACAACTATTCATTGTTATTTTGGTAAAATAGAATAGTATATGAAAGAGTTTGAATGCCATTCAAATTAGGGTAACTTTGAAGAAAATGATTCATATAATTTTAAAACATTGTGTATATTATAGTACTAATGTAGTCTTTTTGCCTCTATTTTGATCACTTGTTAATTTACTGGAAAATACCATGTCTTTTCCTTAAAAGCCATCTTTTAAAATTAGTAAGAAATGGTCCTAGCAAATGTACCAAGTATTTGTGAGTCACACTTATGTCACCCTTGCTATGATTCAATTATTAACAATCTAATAATAGTTCTATTAGATAAGACTAATGACTGTGAATTTTTTGTATAATTATATAGTGTCCGAGTTAATTTGTGTGCATTTCAATTTTTACGAGGTATCTATTGGCTATTACCTCATATCGTACAGATATCAGATAATTTTATTCATCAAGACTTGGATAACAACAACATATCAGTGTGGGGTCATGGGCAGGGGCGGAGTCAACATATATTGTTAGGGGTTCATCCGAAGCTCCTTCAGCAAAAAATATTACTATTCATACATAGTTAAAATTAATTTTTATGTATATATAGTAGATGTCGAGTCACCTTCGATTAATTCGTGTGTTTACTTTTTTCAGAATTTGAACCCTCTTATTAAAAATTCTAGCTCTGCCACTGATTATGAAAAGACTAAAGTGCACACTTACCTTACCAATATCTAATGTTATTTTCAAAATATCCTCAGCTCCATCAAGACTTAAACAAATAAAAAATAAATTAACTACTAATATTTTTACTCTACTGAAATCTCATGATTATCAATTGTTCCGTTTACTACTAAGCCACACACTTTATAAAATAATTTACCTAATAAGTTTGTATGGTGAAATAGCTATATATACCATGTCTATCTAAAGTCAATTCACCAATTTTTTTTATAATGTGCAAATTGGTAAAGATGCATGCATTTATATATGGGTGAATTAGCAGTAGCCGACTCTTGATGAAACGAAGTAAAAGTCGGCGAATCCAATTCAGTCACAGTCACCCTTGGCAACTTTAAGTCTTCAATTACCTTACACACACACGCCCACACACACACGCGGCTGCTCTAGAAAGGCTTTTGTCATCTTTTCCCATAACTTATGCCAAATGGACTAACTCAATAGCTTTTAAACTTATAAAATTAATAACCTATGCTTGATAATTAGGTTGGAGATAGGTGAGAAGATTATTAAAAGAGGGAAAAATTAGTTCCTCTCTATTCAATTTTCTTCCCCTATTTTATTCAACTAAGCAATAAACTTTCCCATTGCATCTTTTTTTTTTTACCTCTACACTTGTCACTTGTTAGTATGAAACTTATTTACAAGAAACTATAGATAAATACTATCTAGTAAAAAACTATAGAGATGACGGAAAAGGTTCAATTATACTCTCGTTTTATTTTTACTTGTTATATTTGAATTTGACATATTTATTAAAAAAAATTGACATGATTATTTATTATATTATCTTTTTTAATTGATGTTTAGTAGTATTAAATCTTGAAAATGATTCTAAGAGTAAGTAATTTATATTAAGGGTAAAATTTGGAGAAAAATAATTGTCTTTTCTTGATATATTAAAAGTGACAAGTAAAAAATGAATATCTATTTTTGAAATAATTAACTAGTAAAAGTAAAGGAGGAAATTTTATCACTAAACGTGTAATAACTCACAATGGGGAAAAATGGTTTTATTGTTATTAGATACCGCATCGTCTTTGTTAAGGAGCGTTTTACCTATCAATATGGAACACCTCAATGCAAATTCAAATTTAATAGAACTTTAATATAAATATCAGATAATAAATGAAAAACTAAAAAAATTACTCACAAATTACAAAATAAATATAAATTACACTAGATAAATTTAATACGGGCGACTTCGATTAAGAAACGCGTGAAGCGTGTTTCTTTTGGTGTACGTTTTGAGTTTTGACACAGTCTATAGTCTTACTAGTCTTCAGTCTTAGCTCACTCAAAAAAATCTCCCTTTCTTAGGTTCCTTCCTCTCCAAGCCCCACAAAAAATTTAGTCATTTAGACTTCACTTCCACTTTCCAGTGCTCCACTCCCTTTCCTTTTTTATTTTTCAATTCAATTACTTGGTTAACCATCTTACTACAACTACCTTCTTATTCTTTCCCACGCAACTTCCTTATTTCTTCCCCTTTATATATCCCACAAACTCCTCTTCCACTCTCATTCACTTAATACTCATAAAACTTCTCAAGTTTTATAATATTCTTAACACTCTCTCTCTAAACACAACAGACGAATAATTCAATCAAATTGTTATTGAGATGGCCCTTGAAGCTTTGAATTCTCCAACTGGTACTTCAAATCCGCAGACGTTTAAATTTGAGAGCAAAGGCCAGCAGCAGCTTCGGTACCTTGAGAATTGGACTAAAGGGAAGAGATCTAAGAGGTCACGGAGTATGGAACGCCAGCCGACTGAAGAGGAATATTTGGCGCTTTGTTTGATTATGCTTGCGCGTAGCGATGGCTCTGTTAATCAGGTACGATCTCTACCACCGCCGGTGCCAGTGATGAAAATCCACGCGCCGTCGGAGAAGATGGAGTATAAGTGTTCGGTTTGTGGTAAGGGATTTGGATCTTATCAAGCTTTAGGAGGACATAAAGCTAGTCACCGGAAACTCATCGCTGGCGTCAGCGGCGGCGGAGATGATCAGTCAACTACCTCTACTACTACTAACGCTACCGGAACTACTAGCTCCGGTAACGGTAACGGTAGTGGAAGGACTCACGAGTGTTCGATTTGTCACAAGTGTTTTCCTACTGGACAAGCTTTGGGAGGACACAAACGGTGTCACTACGACGGTGGTAACGGTAACGGTAACGGAAACCCTAACAGTAGCGTTAGCGCTAGCGTCGGAGTTACGTCGTCGGAGGGCGTGGGGTCAACAATCAGCCACCGTGATTTTGACTTGAACATCCCGGCTTTGCCGGAATTCTGGCCTGGATTTGGTTCCGGCGAGGATGAGGTGGAGAGTCCACATCCGGCGAAGAAATCACGGCTATCTCTACCTCCAAAATTTGAATTATTCCAACATTAATGTGACTTTGATTGCTAGGATTTACGAATTTTTTAGACAAATTATATGTAATTTTTTCTTTTCATTGTGGGTGGGAGTAAAATTTTAATTAAATTATATATGTATATAGGACCTAGCTAGTTATAGTGAAAATTCAATTGATTGATTTATTTTTTATGGAATTACTTTGTTCACTTGCACTTTGGTTTCTCTAATAAAAAACATATAAATTTTAGCTAAAAACTTCAATAATTTGTTAGTTTTGATCTCCTGATTAATTCAAATTCGTGCTACGTAGGAATTTTCTATCAAGAATTTTTCTTAAATATAAGATCTTGGATAAGAGATGAGAAGCATCATCCCTGTACCACATTCTTTCGTGATGCGTGTGATTATTTTTAAATTTATTTTTACAACTTGGATTTGAATGTTTTTGATCAACAATGAAAGAATATTGTGGAGTAGAGAAGTGATGATGGCGGTGAGAATATTTCAAACTTCCAATTGTGTACAAAAGGGTGGCCAGACTATGTAAGTTAGTTGTTCACGCGTTTCGGTTCCATGTGCTTTCTTGGACTAGTTTTATCACCCACTCAAAATGGATGCAAACTACTAATGATTTTACTTTTCCAAATTGGAATATGGAATATCTTTTGACCAAAAATTATATGGTGACTTTAATTTTCCAGAAAATGAGATTTATTTTGTAACATTATAAAGTTTATCTTTTTTAAAGAGTTAACAAGTACAATAAAGTACGAACCTAAAATTAGTCTTGAATTAATGAATTATGTGGTCCATATAAACCATACTCACTAATTTTCTTTTATACGACCGTGGTGTTCATATCAATTTTTACGATTAGTTTTACGTGGTAATTATCACCTCTTACCAATTATAAATATCAAACAACGACACTGTCTATCTAAACTAATATTAAACCTCATAATTCTCAACGCAGACTACAGTTAGACTGCATACTCATTAAACTTGTGCACGCCCAAAGTTAGAAGATATAGATATCAGTTAAAGCCAAGTTGAATGACACATTGATCGTGATGCTCAGGTCAGCTTTCGCGCAACTCAACTAATTTCACATGATACCTATCACCTCTAGTCTATAACAGATATCAGATAACTCTATCCATCTAAACTAACCTTAGTTTTTTCGATCTCTTGGTTCTCAAGCTAGGCCAGTGCATGCCCACTAAAATTAGGAAAAGAAAAGGGGAAGGCAACACTTATGTGCTGCTAATTAAGTACATTTTAATATGATTATTGATTACCTTTTAAAATAGTACTAGTTAGCAACAAGCTAAGAACAGGTGACAGGTGTTGAGAGGGAAAGAATGAAATAATAATAATTAATGAAATGAATAATATAGGGTCATGGATAAGCACAAGCACGTTGTATACTTGTATGTGGTGTATATATGATTAGGATGACAAATATGCCTGCCGACCTTTGCTTTTAATCCACTACCTAATTAACCATTAAGCAGTTTGTTTAATGGTTGGTTAAAAACCAGCTTGTATATCATCCCTACACAGTTTTTTCATTATATCTTCGATATTCATTTTAGAGTTCAATTAATCCGTAAGATAGGTTCAAAGATATAGAAACACTTTTTACTAAAATTTTGCTCAAATAAGACCGAATTTTTGAAGTAAGGATATATAATCATCTAGTAGCCTATAAGGCTATTCCCTTAATTCCATATTAGTTGATCAGTTTCCTTTTTAAACGCGTATTAAGAAATCATAAATAAGAAGATAATTTGTTAATTTATCCCCTTAAAAAAACTTTTTGAAAATTATACAAATAAATATAAATACTTTTAAAAAGAATTAATATAAGAGAGTTATTTTTTTTTTTAATTGATCAATTAATATGAGACAAATTCTTCTGCCTTGTTCGAATAGGTTTTGTATGATTTTTTTTATGTAAGTCGACAACTTGCTCAATAAATACAGTAAACTGTCGATTGGTTTTAAGACTAATTTCACAACAGCCACCAACTTTATCCAAAAACTCTCGTCATTCCTACAATTGGCACTTGCCACAAACATCTAAATGTTTTCTATGTACAAATTATATATTAAATAGATATCAATAATTTAAAAGATTAGAATTTAAAATTCATCAACTTCAAATTCTAGATTCGCCTCCATTGAAATAAATAATACTTCCTCTTAATGAGAAGCTCCTACAATCAAATAAATGTTGTATAATTTAATTAAGATTCATAAATTTCAAAAGTTTATGTTCAAAAAGATATTACGATATGTTAAAATCACAAGTTTTAAGTAAAAAAAATTATTTAAATTTCATGTCTAGTTAAAGTATACCAAAAGGCGAAATAGTGAATAATCAAGCTGTAAGTTCATGAGAATACATTTAAAAAACGTGGAATATTAGTACTTGCGTGATAAAAGGGTAAATATACTATTTGCTTTTAGATTAAAACAAAGAACTCTATTTCCTTATTCTAAAATAATACATAAAAAATAGGTACATTTTTCTCACGTTCAACATTGTCAACGTGATACATGAATTTTTGAGAAAATATGCCTCAGATCCACGTTACAGTTTAATCGTCTTAAATTATGCAGATAATTATTCCAACTCACATGGACATGCTTAAATATAACAACAATACAGTAGGGGTGGATTTAATTATATTGGAAGATCTATTAATTAATATGTAAGTGTTTTAAGCTAGGAACCTAGTAACAAGAAAATAATTGCTGGTATATATATATATTAACATTTTTGGGTATTTTCCCAATTAATTAGATATATTAATATTCACTTAAGGTTCAAGCTCACAAAGTTTGATCAATAGCTGTGACAGTACTGACTTTGAGATGGTGTGAACAAGTTGTCCTACTGGCTCGGAAATTTTAATTAATATAGACATTGTTTGAGCTATAATTAACTATATTTAATGATAGTTCAATGTATTAAAATTGAACAAGTTACATGTATGATCAGTTCGTGGTCAGCATATTAAAATGTGAAAACTCCAGTGGAATTTAAGGGTAATAACTAATAAATGTGTTGACCAAGAATTTAGAAGAGTTCAAATGTACAATTTTATCTATGTGAGTTAAATTACCAACACTTTGTTTGGAAGGTTGTTAGTACCTAATGCGTTTCATAATACTATATTATTTTGATAAATATAATGTTTGAATAGATTGTATCGTTTTTTCTTATTAAATAAGCAACACATCAATATTTTGATGGACAAACCTAAAAAAAAAAAAACTAGTATACGTAGTAGAGCTATTATAAAAAGGTAGTGTAAAGGATAAACTAAGATTAGTAATATATAGTAAAGAAAGATCAAATGAGAAGAAAAATAATAAGATGACGACACTATTACACCAAATTATCCATTACATAAGAATTAGATATTTCATTGTTACATAACGATAACTTTTACAATGCGATTTAAACTAACACTCATATTATAGTCATATGTAACAACCATCCGATTGACGATCATGGTAAATATAGTTGACTTATAGAATAATACTCTTAACTTAATTTATTTGATTTATGCGTTATTATTTTATTGAATTATGTAATTAAAAAACGAATATGTTAATTCTAGTGCATAAAGAATAAAAATATTACTATTTTGGCCAATTAACTAAATTTTGTTTTTTCATTTAAGAGATTATTAGGTAGGTACTGAAGTCGGCATAGGCACAACCATTAGCAAGAACATAATGCCCTGTCTTCTATGCCAACTGGATTAGTTGCCAATTGGTTGGCCATAATTTTAGTTATGATGGAACTTAAAGAGCTTGATATTAGTGCTCATCATGTGGTGAGTTTTTTTCTCTATATAGATCTTCCTTCTTGTTGATCTTTTTATTTTCAAGAAGATATCAAGCGTTCGATGATTGTATTGGGATTTTGGCTAATTTGACTTTATAATGCGTAAGATTCATTTTACTAATTAGATTTTTTCTATTTTTAATGTTCGTATTCGATATTTTAGTTAAGAGTGATGAAATTGTATTTATTCTATCATAGCCCTCGTGTCGGAAATAGTGAAATTACTTTAATAATTTAAATAGAATGATAATACATCTATTACTATTTTCATTGCAATTTTTAATACATATTGTTAGAATGGGTTAGAGTACCACATTTGTTGGAGAATGAACTGGTGGTTTATTTATATGGACTTTGGTAATCCTATTCTCAGAGTTAGTTTTTTTATGTTGGATTAGGCCCCAGATGACATATTATTACATCGTATCGGAATCAGATTCATCACTATTTGGGCTCTTGGTCCACGTTACAACTGAGCCTAAATGTGAAAGAGAGTATTAAAGTGGGTCAAAGTCTCACATTGTTTGGAAAATGGATTGAACTAGTAGTCTACTTATATGAAATTGAACAATAATTCTGCACCCATGACCTAACTTCTAAGTTAAGTTAGGCCCTAATGTCATATTTTCACTCCTATTTCATAGATGCAGTGTGAGTTTAATTTCTTTCTTTTTTATGCTATGCCTATAACATCTTTAAGTTTGGGAATGTTTGTGAATTTTTAAAGGAGAAAGTCATGAACAACCACAAGGAATAATTTTATACAGAGCTAGTGAACCAAAAAGCAAACATGTCTATATAAGAGGCCTTACCTTTAACAGATTCGTGGCTACCATCATTTAAAATTATCATAAGAAGGGAAGAATCTAGTAGTGTCTAAAAGAGTGAAGATGTTGGAGGGGTGCCCACTAAAGACTGGCAAAGGAACATAACTTTTTGGGTTCATTTGACAAAATTCTATTGCCATTTGGAGATGGTTAGGTCGGCACAGATATCACTAAAATAGTGATACGCGCTTAGAGAACCTACAAGATGGCCGGCTGAGATGTGATGACTCGTGTTCGAGTTTTTGATATGAAAAAATTCTTAGTAGAGAGCGCTTTCTTTCATATATAGCCTTATGCAGCGCAAATCTAAATTAGTCGAGTTTCAATTTCGTCTAGCAATAATTAACACTCAATTCAAAATTCAAATCTATTTTAAACAAACTCAAATTTAAAATATAAGTTCCAATAACACTAAGCATACTAATTTGACAAAATAATAATAAATCTGACAAACTCATTTTACCATCTTTAAGCTTTTCTCAAAAACCTTTATAAAAAATATTCTCTCAATGACTAGTTCCTTCTTATAATGAACTAAACCACATCGTTGCTATTGCCTTTTAATTTATATATTTTTAAATTTTTAAATTTTATGATAAGATCCCTCATGTAGTATGTGATAATAATAACCACTCTATTGGAGATGCGAAAACATACTTTTGCTTGAAGTTTGTTAATTTTTACCATCAAACTGTTTCTGTCCTAAAATACTTGTCATATTTTACTTTTTAAGCATCAAATTACATAATTTTTTATTAATATTTCAAAATGTATATTTTAACATATTGGGGTAAAAGAAGAATTGCAACTTATAATACTTTTTTATATAGTTTTTGAATATATAAAGTGTGATTTTAATATATTAGACTAATTTAATACAATTTGGCACCAAAACTTAGTTAAATTGACTATTGAAAATTACTAATATGAGACTGAAGAAGTACTTAAATGTAAGGTGATAAGTGATAACTAACCATGAATGCAAATTGCAATTAATCCCAAGATGGTTCCAATTTTGAGATCATAAGTTATTGGGCTTAGGAGATCCATCCGTCCAAAGCTGTCACTTCTACATCATTTGGTTATAATTGGGCTTAATATTTTGGGTAAGGCCTGTTCAAATTGTAAACAGTCGGTCCATCTATTATTTCACCAAACACAGTCATCAATTGATCTATCAAAGGGAAGTACTCGACTCGAGCCCAATGTTAAACCCAACCCAACAAATCACTGAAGAATTGATCTGTCAAAGGAAAATGCTCGGGTTTTTTCATCAAATGAGTTGATCTTTAATTTTGAGAAAAGAACACTTGTATTCCAAAAAGGGAAACTATTTACAAGCAGATATCCCATTACTTTCATACCCCTTGTCTTAAACTACTAATGCGCACATATATGTGTGTGTGTAATACATACTCTGATGGTATCCAAGAGGAAGAAGCAATACTTCAATGAAAACACTACTCAGTTAATCCTTGAAACCATTAGAGTATATATATACTCTGATGGCATCAAGAAGGAATATGTAGTGTTTAAGTGAAAAGACTGCTCAATTACTGCTTGATACCATCTAGAGTGTATATATACTCTGATGGTATTAAGGATGACAAAACAGTGGTTTAGTGAATAAAACAAGGGGGTCGTTGGGGAAATAGTTTGAATCGTGAACCAATCAGGATAAATAATTTGAGTTGATCCAATTTGGATAAATATTTTACATAATGAATCTAATTTGTGTAGTTTTTCCTTTAATTTTTGCTCTTTAAATGGGAGATTTCTAATTTTTGTTCTATGCAATTAGAGTTAGTCATCTATCTTTTTGTTGTTGTATATTGTAGCTAACCTTCTCCTCCTCCTCCTACTACTAACATACCATAGTGGCATTAAGAGAGGGCATACCATATGTAAATCATACTCCTACCCAGTGTAATTTCACAAGTGAATTTAGGGAGTGTATACTATATGTAAATCTTACTCCTACCTTAAAAGTTAGAAGGTAGGGAGATTGTTTTCAATAGACCCTCTATTCAAGGAAAAAAATATCAAAGCAAATCGAAAAAGAAAGAAAGTGAAGAAATCATGACAAAATACTATGACAAAGCAAATAGTTTGATATTCGAAGTACAAGAGTCAAGAGACATACAATAGATAGTAACAAAAATCAAAGACAAGATATTAAAAAAGACACCATGATTACTAATATGAAAGGATAAGCGAGATAAATGTGTTACTACCTAACATGCAAATAGTAACACTACTATTTGCACCATAAACTTGATCAAGAGGACCAAATATCTCTTCTCAAAAATGAAGTAAGCATTATGAGTTGTGATTGTCCTGTTCATAGTTGAAGTATGATAAAAGAGAACTATTCCAAGTCTCCTCAATTAGAAAAAAAAGGAATGGTGGAAGAAGGAAGCAGAATGAACCTACCAACTTAGAAAACACATCCAAGTTGATGTATTGAGTGGAATAGAAAGTTGCACCAGTAGTAAAGTACAAACAAAAGGACAATAGGATGACTCAAATGTCATCTCATGATATAAAGTAAGAAATGAAATTAAAAAAAGAAAGAATCCATTAATTTATAATCCAAATATCCAATTGTAGAGGTTGTAAATTGTGATGTTAAGTTGCGGAGGCACGCAGCCGTTCGAAAACAAACTTTGGAACATGACACGCAAGAAAAATAATAATCTATGACGCTTCATATTGCTTTTCGAAAGTTAATTGATTTTAATTTTGAATTAATTAAATTGATTTTCAAAAAATGCAACGTAATAACAATTTTTGGGATAGAGGAAATACTAATTACTTACATGTACCTTAGCTATTACACTTGGTACTACCATCGTCCTTCACTCCCTCTGCTTGAGTTGATTTTTTGATTTAAAATAAGTTATAAATATTTATATTGATATAAATTATCTTATTAAGTTTTTTAAAAATTTAATATAATATAATATTTTAAATAAATTATGAGGAAATATATGACACATAAATCAAAGAATTATTCAATTTGTACTTATTAAAAGAAACTAGTACGCAATAAATCTAGTGGTATTTTACATAACATAAAATCCTAAAACCTGCCTTTTGCTACAGCCTACAGAGAAAGGCAGGGCTCAGTAGTCTATCATTTCGAAAATAATACTTTCTTCCATTTTAAAAAGAATTACACATTTTTCTTTCTAGTTTGTTTACAAAAATATTTTTTTATATTTTAATTTCATTTTCACGTAGTATGTATAGAACCATAAGATTAAAAGTATTTTGATACATTTGACATAACTTTAGTTTATGACTAAAAGATTGATTTATTTTATTTTTCATAAATTTCGTATCAAATCAGCTCATTATTTTTGAAACAGAAGAAGTATTGTTAATACATGATTAACTATACAGTCTATACTCCTATGTTATATATATATAACATATTTACTATAATAGAAATTGAATTTCTTTTAACTTTTTTTTTAGGCTTAAGTCATCTACAACTCCTTAAAGTTGTCTGCATAGTTCACTTGGACACCTCAACTAGGACTCTTACCTATTGAACACCTAAATTGTTCAAAACATATACCTATTAAACACAAAACGCTGATATGGCGAAATAAATGTAACTCATTGCTGTTGAGCGCGTGAATGGACTTTTTTTTTAATTTTTAAAAATAAATTAGTGCTTATTTTCTTGACACTTGGCATGTATTAATTAAATAACTAAAAACTCATTTAATTAAACATTTATCTCTTTATTTATAAAAGAAAATAACCCCACACCCATGTACAAGTCCTCTTCTTCTTCTTCAACCCACCATTTTAAAGATTTCAAATTCTCTGCCTTTTGTTTTGTTCTTCTTATTTTTTTTTCATTTTTCGTTATAAACAAACTAATTGAATTTGCAAGAAGGAAAATAACCGGACCATTGGAGTTAAAAAGTTAGCCGACATTCATGCATCTCTATTTTCAATAACTCCGATCAAGCAACCATCACCATTCATTAAACTTATTAAAAATGGTATAAAAAATTGATATTCTTTTGATTTCTCTTTATCGTCGATTTTGAAATAATTTATCGACATCAATTATTTTCACAAAAATTTCAATAATCACAGAAAGAATAGAATACAATGAGTGACAGGGGAAGAAAAAAAAGGCAAAAGATTAGGTGGGTGTATTAGGGTTGGGTGAGAGATATTTTCTTTTTTGTTATTGTTAAGGAATCATGGTGGAGTGACAGAGAAAAAGATGAAGAAGAAAGGGCAATGGGTTAAATGGGGGAGAAATTTTCTTTTTTATTCTTTTTTCAATTTAATTTTTCTAGATTAATAAAGGCAGAAAATATTTTTCATTTTTCAAAATTAAAAATTTGGACCCATGTGTCACATGTCGTAATTCTGTTCGTGGTTTTTTCAAGAAAATGTGTGTGAATTACATGCACAATATTTGTAAAACTAGTTGTCATTTTATGATCAATAGATAAATATTCGTTAATATTAAAGTGTCTAATAGGTAAGAGTCCTAGTTAAGGTATCTAAATGAATTATGCGGAGGATGACTTAAAGCCTTTTTTTTTTTGTATATTTATTTCTTTATTTTTACTTTTAAAATCATCACCAACTGTATTCTACTAGGACAATAACCACACCTTCTTAACCATAGTTAGTTACTCTGTTTCTCTTTCACTTGTCTATATTATATCGCCTTCCTCATCATTTCTCTCTACCCATACACCCTAAAGCAGAAAAAAACGTGAACTCCAGAAGAAGAAGAAAAAATGAGCTGCAATGGCTGCAGAGTATTACGAAGAAGATGCAGTGATAATTGTACCTTAAGGTCTTGTTTGGATGGAATTGATGATCCTCAAGCACAGGGTAACGCTACTCTCTTCGTCTCCAAGTTTTTTGGCCGTAGCGATCTCATGTCCTTAATCGCCGCTGTTCCCCAAAATCGAAGACCTGGTATTGTTACCAAACACGCCTTACAACTTAATTTGAGTTCTGGTTTCTGAATAATTGAAAATTATTTCTATATACCTGGCTGATTTGATGAACTTTTCGTTACTGTAGATTTGTTTAAATCGCTGTTGTTCGAAGCGTGCGGGAGGACGGTGAATCCGGTGACCGGTGCGGTAGGTCTTTTATCGACGGGAAATTGGCACGTGTGTCAAAAGGCGGTGCAGACGGTTCTCGCTGGTGGAAATCTACGGCCGGTTTTCGCCGGGATTTCAACTCCGCCTTGGTTCGATGATTCCTTCAGTTGCGGCGGCGCGTGGGATATGCCAAACCAGTTCTCTAACAAATCCGAATCTACGTTCATAGACGGATCGGATCAAATCGAGGGAATGGAGTGGATAAGTTCGGAGAAGAGATGGAATACGTCGTCGTCTTTTGGTTCGGAGACTGAGTTATCGGATGTATCGCTGGGTTTGGATAGTGGATATGGATATGCAGAGGGTGTGAAAGGGGAAGAACCGAAACTTCTGAATCTCTTCGTTTGAATTTTGTTGTTTGCCATCGCAACTGAGTAAGAAAGTAGAAATATATACTTAATATTACTGTAGTAGTTTTCCAGTTGAGTTTGATATTTTGAGTTCGATCTTAGTTGGAAAATCAGTAACTGTAATGATCTAAACCTGAGTTTTTGGAGTGTCAAACTGACCATTTTTTTGGCTGAATAAACTATATATTATACTTATATTATTAATGAAATAAACATGATTTGTACTTCAATTGTGCCAATTCCGCTTGCCTCAGTTAGGATTTTATATCTCCAGTTTTTAGTCCTCATATTAATTCCATTTTATACGATCAATTCCATATACAATTCCAAGTTTACATTTCTCTCTTTGTGTTTGTAACTGTATTGTATAATTGGTATATTCGACCTAGTGGTCGATATAATAAAGTAGGAAGAGAACTATAAAATTAAGTCAGAGATTAAAAAAGCATTGAGTGTTTTTTTTCCTGCCTAAAGGCTTCGTAGATAAAGTTGATTCGATGCCTATGTTGGTACAAAGTATGAAATGAATACTTTATGGAATAATCAATCTGTTCAAGCTGACTCGAATGCTATCGTCATTAAAAAGTATGAAATAAATACTTTATGGAATAATCAATCTGTTCAAGCTGACTCGAATGCTATCGTCATTAAATCATTGTCCATATTTCAAGTAGTAACATCATCAATTTGTTACTATATCATGAAGACTTCATGTGGAAGAATAGAATTAGCTCTCGGCTCATGGAAGTTTGAGGACTTATTACACATTTCCTATCGAGCATAATTGACGTTGTGATTAAATTAAAAATTTCTTAATAAGTTCTTACGAACTTCAATTATGTCATTTTAATACCCTTTTAGTAATCACAATTTGAAAGAATTGAGTCAATTTATATTAGCTAGAATTATTAGGTTTATTCACAAATTGAAGTGTATTCTTTAGATAAAAGATTAGAGTTTACCGTCTCACACTTAATCTCATGTCTTCCACAGTTAAAGATGGAGGATTCAAATTTCATCACTAGTGTAGTCTTTTCCCTCCCCTCCTCCCTCCTCTCCGCTCCCCCGATGTAATAAAATAAATTATTTAAAATAATAAAAACTTAAAATCTCCCAAGTTGAACAAAGAGTGAACTACAATTGAGAATAATTAGACACATATCACAATCGTGGATTTATTGAAAGATTAAGCATGAGTTGTCACAATAAAGAGGCAAACATAATATCTATGAGAACTATACAAATCTTATCACTCAAAACTCAACTTACATAAAAAAAAGCTAAAGGGCTATACATTGAAGAAGGAAAGAATTCATAAGTGGAGAACATCAAATATCTATCAAATTAAAGCTCCATTAAAGGGACCAATCCTCTCATTAAACCAATAGTTAGTAAAAATGCAAATGTATACATAAGGTTCATTTATAGAAACAATCTCATTACAACCAATAGTTAGTCAAATGCAAATGTATACATAAGGTTCATTTATAGAAACAATCTCAAATCCAAGGGAAAAAAAAGAAGAAGAAAGTATGGTATTCTAATCTACTTTTACTCATTTGTTGTTATATTCTTTTCCAAGATTTTCATCCTCACAATATTTAGGAGGCACACTCCAATGTGCAAGTCGATGCGGATTTCAAAAGTAATACCCCTTCCATTTTAGGGTATGTGAAACACATTTGTTCGTTTAGAAAAAAATGACACGTTTTTAAATTTTAAAATAATTAATTTTACATTTTTCATGTCATCTTTGATAAAAATGTTATGCCGTGTTTAAGGTTATATTTCAAAAGTTTATAGCGCCATAAATGTTGTATTTTAGATCACACGTTTCAGAAAGTTTTTTTTCTTCTTAAATTTCATGTTGATTCAAATTATGTCTCATGTATTAAACAAAATGAACTTACTGTTAACATGTGATCATATATCAATGCATATACAAAATAGTTTAATTTATACTCTTGTTCTACATTATATGACACTATTTTCTTTATCAATTCATTCCAAACTTATGTTATCTTTCTATATTAGTAACAATATAATATCAAACTTTTTATTTGACCTTTAATAATACGTTTGTATATGCACACAAAAATTGTCATATATAACACAATTATTTAATTAAGTACATAATTTTATGTTTAAAAAATCTTTCTTTCTGAATTCCCGCTACCAGTCAAACTAAGCTACATAAATCAAATTAAGGGTAAAAGCAGTTTTTTTCCATCTTCCTATTGTTCATTTGGGTATGTGATAATGCAACAACCTATGTAATACTATCACCCTTCTTTGGTGCAATGAATAAGGTTATTCTTTCTTTTAATCAGAGATCTTGAATTCGAACTCTATGTATGAAATTTTTTTTGAGTAAGGAACAGTTCCTCATGAATGAGCAAATCCAAAGTAGTCGAGCTTTAATACGCGTATCAGATGAAAAATAATAATAAAAACACTATGTAATACTCAAATAATCAACAAATAACAATAATATATTATGTATAATTTCATGAATTGAGTATGAAAAGGTATAAAATATCACCAAATGACGTTAATCTTATATTTTTATATGTTGATAAGGTAGGGAAACTATTTCTGATTCACCGACGAAACAAAAGATTGGAGGAGGGGTGGGGTAGAGAGGCTTATTCAAAAGAGATGGGGAACACATCATCAAGGGTCCCACATTTTAGTTTACCACCTTCATCAGTGGAAAACCACATCACTTTTTTGTATTCGAGACAAAAGCAGATTCGCTTAGCGTTTGCCTCTCGCCGCATCCCACCCAATATTTATTTCTTTTTCTATTTTCCACAAAATACTTAACCATGGTTAACATATGTGGTTAACTCTAGAATATATTTTTTTCCCCTCTCTTCCCAAATCATCCCATTATACTATAAAACTATATATTTAAGAGACAAAATATAACCCTCAAATTAATATCAACACAATTGGTGATCAATAGGCAGAAGGAAGATTTTTTTTTTTCATTATACCAATTTTGCTGGTGCTTGAAATAATTTTATCTAGAGTCTTTTCCTTCTTTTGAAGTTTTCGATAAACAATATTTAGTTTTAGAAATAGTGACTAATCTATTGAGATGTTTTCAGGTATAACAATTATTAGGCTCATCTAAGGTATATTTACGAAAATAATAAAAAACTTAACCGTCAAGTTTTGAAAAAAAACAAACTAGCTAAGCTTGTGTCACTTTCTTACATTAAGAAAAAAGGAGATCAAGAAGTATATATGGGGCCGACACACAATAATCAAATTAAATTATAGATCAAGATATCGGATCTTAAAAAGTGGAAGAAAATAATGACATTTTTAATCGAAAAATTAATGTTTAGACCAATTGTGGTCTAGTGACTAGTAGGCAGTGGCGTAGGCACATGTATTGGACACCCTTCGTCGGAAACAAATACCGCATATACAAGTAAAATTATATACGAAGTGATTAAATAACATATTTTGGACACCCTTTGCATAATAGGTTGTTATGGCCTAGTGATTTAAGATGTCTTGAATGTATGTTTCGACATCTTTAATGAGTCAATGCTCACGTGTTCAAATCTCACATGGAACAATATTTTCCCCTTTTTAAAAAGAACTTTTGTTATTTAATTTTTGGACCCTCTTTTTGAAATTCCTTGCTCCGCCACTGCAGTAGTAGGTAAAAAAAGGATAAATTGAAATCATTTCAAACTATCCCTATTAAATGATATTTAGTATTAGGTCTTGGAAAATGATTTAAAAAATAGGTATCTAATGCTGGAGGTAGAACATGGAAAAAAAATCGTCTTTTCTTGATATGTCAAAAGTGACAAGTAAAAATGAAAATCTATTTTAGAAATAAGTGACAAGTAAAAGTGAACGGAAGGAATAGTTTAGTAAAAGTGAATAGAGAAATACAAACAAGAGTTCTAAAAAAGCTATGATCCAACATCCAGAGAGAAACAACTCAGATCGTACGTTAAGATCTCTAAGCAACATAAAAAGTGGATTCTACCTCTTAACTTGAATGCCTTTACTTTAATGAGATAATGCCATAACTTAAAGTAAACCATACACATTTTAAGTGTTTACACTTGCAAAAAGATAGGTCTAATCACTTGAATATTTCTAGCAAACATCATCAATTATGTTTGCACTCAAGACCATAACATCATAGTATTTTTTTAAAATAGTCCTCAAATAATAACTTAGTACTATCTTTTCCCTGGCTTGGTTACTAATTTCAGAATAAATTATACTAAGATCACTAGTTAGAATCGGGGTAAGTTATCCTTGCCAAAGGGTGGAATAATAGAACCGGAATTAGTTATCCTAAGATAAAAACAATAAAAATGACAAGTTTCCCACGCGTGTGCAAAGAATTTCCATTTATTACATGGACGTATATTTATATATATACACATGTGTAAAATGTTTCTGATGCTATAAACCAAAGATATAAGCTGGCTGCTATGAAACATTATAAAAGCAGCAATTTCCTACTCATGATGCATACAAAATGCAATTGCAGCAGCATTCAACAAGCCTGAATCAAGTAACTCTAGCTACACAAATCATATTACCGTCACTTTGTTTGGTTAAGAAGAGCTCCCTTTTGATGTTAGCATTTCCGTTAAGCAGTCAAAACAAGATCAGCTTTACACTTCTGTTGTTGAGCAACAAACCGCGTCTTTTATTTGTAATAAATGTGTCTTCAGGCTGCATTCCTTCACCTGTTTTACAAACTTTTGTCAGTTTACAACGATCTTTTGATATGAAGTATGATGTAGAAATGATGATTACTCGAATTGTTTTCTTCAAAAGCTTTAGGTATAGAGGGAAATCCAGGGTTACCTGTAGAGCCGTCATTGATGACAAGATATCTCTACATTGATCAAGTAAAGCACGCTCGCTAGCCACTACATCTGCAAGCTCACATACCATAGAATCCACCTGCTCTACCTGTGCACGTAATAATTAACCAATGTTAAAGAAATCCAAGTGGAAATGCACCGAGATACAAAAAGGAAATTTGGAATATTGTCTGAAAAGACAAGTTGAGTACTAGGCATAGTTTGATCAGAATCATTGAGAAATAAACAGACAATAAGAGAAGTAGGTTCCAAGTTCAAGCACTAAGCCTTTTGCTTTACTGATCCAAAGCAAGAAAAAAAAAAGAAACTGCAAGCGCTAAGGATGAAAAATTAAGAATATCAGGAACTAGTTTTGATCCCAGATGTCAACAAGATGACACAACTATTACAACGGATACCTCATAGGTCAAAGTTATGGGACAAGTAGTCATCCACAACCAGTTAGTAATAATATCACAGCAAAGACTATCTGTTGAGACTGGGAGCAGCATTTTTGCAAAGTTAGTTTTGGTAGTGTGAAGCCAGTTTATTTTAAAGTATCTAGATTCCAGTATATCAACACTTAACTCACGTAAAAAAAAATCAACGAACAAAAACAACAATATATGGTTGAAAACACATTGTGATCACTCCTAAACTCGCGACAGAGATGTTCTATCTGAGAAAATACAGCTACAAAAATGGTGGGGAAAAGAGAGCAGATAGTTTTGAAGAAAGCTTAATGCAGGAATTAATCCCTGCTGATATCATCAAAACCATGAACAGAGAACAACGATATCATGCACCAGAGAGTCGTGCAGAAGAATTCCAGCAAAGAGAGGACAGAAGATGATGCATAATTTTTTAGCAATAGGAGAGGTGCAGTTGTGGGGAACAAACTTGAAGAAATGTATTGCAACAAATAGATCGAAGATACTCAATCAAATCCAGTTGCTTCATACTCAGTTTTAGCTGCCTTTCTCCCTAGTGAGTCAATATTTACCTTAATTTATCCATAGCACTTCCTCATAAAATTACCTTCCAAAAAACTTCTACAAGCCTACACTTAGACCCCATATTGACTCTCGGAATGTTAAACTAGAAAAAAGAGTCTCTCAAAGGCCAGAAGGAAAGTGTGTATTTCCATCTCCAGTCGCTTCATACTTGGTTTTAATTGTCTTACTCCATAGCTAGTCAATATATACAACCAAGGTCCTCTGATGAGGACCTCTTTTCTTCAGTTTTGTTTCTATCTCTTCCTCGTCGTCACTTTCCCTTCTTCCTTATTATTATCACCAACCCCTTATCTTTCACCCAGAATTCATCCCATCAGACATTATCAAGACATTAAGGGTTAAGATTTTCAGATTTTAAACTGTTGGTTCTCAGTGTTAAAACATTTTCGAGGTGCACTTGTGGCGTACACCCGAGCATTTGGGGGCATGCACCTCTCACACTGGTGTCAGAATGTTGTCAATGTTGGTTCATCTAATGCATTTTTGCAATAGATAGAATACGTGATTATCGCGTGAAACAAAACACTTTCACATGTTGAAATAGATTCTCCAAGGCTTCCCTTTGGTGAGGGAATATTTACAGGATTATTAAGAATACCCCTCCCCCCCCAAAAAAAAAATACAGATATTGGATAACTTTATTCACCAAGAATTTGTGCAGATGGATAATAGTCACTAGCTAACCAACTTCATGCTAGGTCACACCCTTAGGTGCCAGGACTTTTAAGAACATTGCACAAACTTAGAAGTAGAGAAGGAATTAAAGGAAGCATCTTCTTATGATTTTCACTCCCTGGCTTCTAAAAGTCTCCTTCAAACGAATACATATAAACTTAAAGAGATAAAAAAGGAAAAAGAAGGAAGAGAAATCCCAGATAAAACAAAACTTCAAAAGTAATTTGAAATTATTCTGGCAAGTGGGCCTATTATTACATGCACCTCAGTCCTGTCATCTTTTATTTGTTCTAAATACTTGCTAAAGAAGGTTAGAATACAAGAAATCATGTTGTTGACCAGTTTAGATATTTTTTAGGAAAAATTACCTAAATACACAACTTATTTTACCCTATTCTCTAAAATTTCCTACCACTTGAAAAAATTACAAAAATCCCTACTCTCTCCTATTCTCGGATACATCACGTTACGCAATGTATCAATTGGATACATCACTTTACGCGATATATCGGTCATCACTTTACGAGATGTATTGTGACATAATACATCACTTTACGCGATGCATCGGTCGGATACATCACTAAACGCGATGTATCGGGACATTGAGTGATGTATCCGAAACTGAGCGCGATGTATCAGGGTGTTGAGTGTTGTATCCGAAACAGGGACGCGATGTATTTGGACGTTTTGGGATGTATCCGGATTCCACCAAATTTAAGAGATTTTCGTAATTTGGAAAAAGTAGGAATAGGATGTAGTTAGCTCTTAACACTATGGGATTTGTGTAAAATTCCCTATTTTTTATGCATTAGATTTACCATTTCCTCATTGCAGATAAAACTCATCTTAGTCATATTAGGTGGATATGCAAATTGAGCAAGAAAAAAATACCAGAAAGAAAAAAATACCTTCGGGAGCAAAGAATACATTGAGGATCCCATTGCCTGCATCACGTCAACGGCTGAAGAAATAGCATCTTTAACATTTTGAACTTCTGCCTGCAGATGATAGAACCAGAAAATATTATTCCTGAAGTGTAATACCAAATCGTAAAAGAATGCAAGGGAATAAGTACCCTAGCTCCTTCCACAACAGGGAGACGAATAGTGCTGGCTTCCAGAGCGCATATGGTCCCTGACAATGAATTGCAATGGTCTCCATCAATCATACTCCAATTTTCCAAACATGGCCTCTGAAATGTCCAAAAAAGAGTAAGGGATAATAAGATAGACAAATCAAGTACACATTACAAATGTTAAAACACGAAATCAGACAATGAATATTTACTTTTCATTTCACAGCATATAAAAAGATAACAACCATCTTAGGCAGCGCAGGCACTCCTCAGGCGCATGATGAAGGCAAATGTGAGATGTAACAGGGAACATTATAAATGTAACTAGCAAAAGTTATTTCATTCAACAATATAATGTTATCTACAGCAAAATGACCAAATAGTATGCATTTCTCATGTATTAACTGTCATAATTTCTGTTTCATAGCTCCCCCCTCAACCCTCAGGCCTTCAGTTTTCTTCCTACACATCATATAGACTTTTAACCTCGTGTACTCTTGTTTCTTGTTTGTTCTTTTCAAATACATACATGATTTGTTTATCAAGTATCTGTACTATCACATTGATGCATGTGTATTTAAAAGAATATCTTTTGATGTGTAAGATGTGTATATAAACATATGCAAAATAATTTGGTTTGAGGCAGAACAGCAGAAGAACTGAAAAGAGGGCTTACTTGTCCTTTGAGGATGGAATGCAGCTTCACATTTTTCCGCAGCAGCTGCAGCTGAATTCTTTTGGACTTCACAGAATGCCGCAATTTTAAAGTAGTCAACCAAGCATTGTACAAGGTCCTCTGGTAAACGGAAAATTTCAGATTAGTGGCACGAAATTTCCACAGCATTCTAGTCTATAGTTATACCACAGCTGTCAGTTTACACTATTAATTCATGGGTAGAAAAAACTTGCAGCCAGTTTATGCATCAATTTTAGTGAGTATAATTGTAAGAGGAGTATTAGGAAAAACTAAGGCAGCAGGTCGGTTAATAGTTTCAATTTTACTTGATGATAAATTATTGGTACACCTTTTTTACAGTTTTTATTCTGATATTTGAACTTTGGTTTTATCACCTTTTTAAGAACGATAAGTAATGTTTATTACATATTATGGTAAGGATGTTATTATTTCATTTAGACATCGAACTATGGTCTGTTCCAATTCAGTACCTGTAAATTTCATGGACAACCACTTAAGGGTGTGTTCACCAGCGCCCATTACATAGATAAGTTCATCACATTAAACATGTCTTCTCCTTTCAACTATACATATCAACATCAATTGGAACATGCATGAGGTTTTACGGCTTAGTGAAGTTAATGTGTATAAATAAAGGAGGTAACATATTTTAAGTGCTTAATTTATTTTTGTAATGAGCACTTGAGAACACGTGCAAAAGCTTTTTTAAAATTTTGAGTTGAAAATATCTAATAGGAACACTTTGTTATATGTTTGGATGGTCAATCGAGATATTATATGTTTAGAGGCTCAATCGAGATATGACATAGTTCGAGTGTCTAGATGAAATTTACTGGCAAGTGAAAACTTTTATATCTTAGATTTCTATTAATATACATAAAACAGGTCTAATTAACAATAAAATATCAAGTAAAGAAACAACACATATCATGTATTTATTCTTTGAAATGGATTGGAGTTTACACCAAGTATATAACTACCGGTGGATTATTCATCATATCATGCAAAACTTGAATAGGAACTAACACTCAAGTAAGAAATATTAGATTATAAAGACAGATATATCTATTATCCCATTCAAGCATGTAAATTGAACAGTATATTGAACATGTCCAATTAACCATAAAAAGTTCAAGTAAAAAAGAGCAACAAGCATCATATATTTATTATCCTGTTCAAACCGCAGGTTGAGGGATTCCTATATCTACTTGATGAGTGAAACAGAAATGCAAACCTCCAAAAGTTTTAGTCTATTGCTATTTCTTAATGCAATTCATCTAAGCCATGAAAAAATTCCTCATACCCTCCTCACTCGTTTTGATCCCAGATGTCCATATATATATATATATATATATATATATATATATATATATATATATATATATTGCATTTCTATTGTGGCTACTTTTCATTTCTATATAAGGAATATACATAATGCGTTTTTATTATGGCAACTTTTCATTTCTCTAATTACACTTTACTCTTAATAAGGCGGGATGGGTGTGTGTACTATCTGACCCCAACTAATTTAGGATTGAGCCATAGTTGATTGATTTATTTCATTTCCACAAATAACATTCACTACAAAGGTTCGCAAGGGATAGTAAAATCCAAGATGATGTTTCCTTAGCAATGTCTTTGTACTGTCGAACAAAAAAGAACTTGTATATGAACTATGTCATCAGTAACACTTAGAGAGTTAGTAGCATTTTAAAAAGTTTTACCTCGGCTGTTGTTGTCTGTGCCCTTAGAGCAGCTTCTGCTTGTGCATTGACAAATCGCCATTGCAGGTTCCGATTATATAGAAGCCTTAACTCATGTGCATCAACTATCCGGTTTTCCCCTACCTTCCCTCTTCTTGCATCAGCAGCAAAACTCAAAATTGAGGGCATGATGCATGAATTATTAGATATTGAAACCATGGAACCATTTGTTCTTGTAGGACTTGGCATCCCTCTTAAAGGAGTATTAGCAGATGGTGTCAATGCCTTACTTGGTGATGCTGGTCTTAGACCCCCTCGAAGAGGAGACACTAGACCTCTAGAAGCTGGGACAACCCAGGGTGATGTTCTAGGGTTATCAATCAGAAACTTCTTGTTTCCCATTTGCTTAGAAGAAGGCGCTGTTTTCAAATTGCCATTGTCCATAGAAGAACCAAGTTCTGGCCCTCGTCTGATTCTGTTGTTAGTCTCTTGCCAAAACCTAGCAGGCACAACTATACCACGGGGACCTCCTTTTCCATGAGTAACAGTCGGACCATCATGGACACCTGAAGTACTCCCTGAGGAGACACTTTCACTATCTGAAGCCAATGCATCAGCAGACATAGCTGATCCATAAGCTGACTTCATATCGACCTCACCATTATCACTTTGAGGTTTCAATCCAGCTTCAATTCTAGCTCTATGATATATATCAATCACCGACTTCATTGACGAACTAGTGACACTTCCGGATCCAAATTTAGGCTTGTCAATAGAACCACAATCCATGCTTTGTGTCAGAAAACTTGAATTCAGTGACTTTGACCTCCCTGGCCACCTATGCTGATCACTTGTCTTGACATTCTCAGTCCGATCTCTCGCTGGTGTGCTCAATTCCGCCGCAACTTTACTCCTCTCCGGTGTAAAAAATTCCGCCGTAGCTTTCTTCCTCTCCGGCGTGACAAATTCCGCAGTAACCTTCCTCCTCTCCGGCCTGACAAATTCCGCAGTAACTTTCCTCCTCTCCGGCGTACCCTTCCTCACACTTCCAATATTGTTCGTCGCAGGAGGGGGTTTTGCCTTACTAACAGGTATAGAGAAAGACTGACCTTGAAAGGAAACGGATAAACTCCTACTGGAATTCAACAGCTGCTTCGCCGCAGCAGACTTCTCCGTAGACGCTGGCGTCACCGGTCGTCTCCGGTCCACCGACTGGGACCGTTTAACTGAACCGGAATTCTGAACCGGCGTTGCAGCAGGTCGAACCGTCCTAGTCCCCATCGGCGATGGAGTCCTCAGTGAGGCAATCGAATTAGACGATGAAGAGTAAGTAGTGGAAGTATTCGAAGACGACGTTGTTGAGACAGAAGATGAAGAAGAAGTCGAAAGGTACCTAGAAGTAACCTCTCTAGATTTCGGTTTTCTAGAAGGTCCATTCTGAGCTTCTGAAGGCAACAATGGCGGCCTTTTCGGATTCTGATAACTCAAACCATTAGATGTGACCTTCTGATTGGGTTTTGTTGTTGATACTGCAGCCACCATTGCCACTTCTCACAATTCTTCACATCTCTCCGAAAAAATCACTCTCTCAAAAACCCTAATTCACCAGAAATTCAGCTGAATTTATAGAGTAATAAAGTGCAAAATACAAAGAGATTACTACTACAATCTGAAATTAGTAGTATATGTATTAATAATGCCTGTATTAATGTAGAGATTTTTTACTTTGTAATTTCTAGAGAGAGAAACAGACCGGAAAATATGACCGTTACGAACGCCGGCGAAAAATATACGCGGAGGAGAGAGAAAGTGGGACCTGAAGGAAATATTTGTGAGCATAACTGTCGTCCCCCACTGCGTTTTCGATGTGATTAAAAAAAAGGCAATGCATTAAGAACTTGTACTGGTACTCTTAATAGTTGTGCCCTCAACTTGAAGATAACTAAATGGTAAAGTACACTAAACACATTGATGAGAACTTGTATTTTTGGCAAGGAAGTCTCGGAGCAATGATAAATTTATCTTGACATGATCTATAGATCATGATTAGAGCTTGTTGAAACTCGTTATTAATATTTTCATTAGAATAGATGGTTAACATAACACTTTTTGAGATATAGTCTTTTTTGAACTCTGCTAATATAGAATGTTTGTGTAGTGAAATATTTTTATTTTATTTTTGTTGAATCTTCGGAGAAACGTCACATTGATGACAGTTGATTTTGATACTTTAATGACAGATTAGGTAACTTACATGATTATTTAATAACTTATCTTAATATTTTATTATTGTTTAATATACTAGTATTGCATTTTGTTTGTTTATTAGTATTTCGGAGAGAATACCCAAGCATGCTCATAAAAAAAAACAATTTAAAGTAGGTAAATGGAATTACGGGATCATTAAAAGCCAACATTTATATTGATTAATTAATTAAATCATAGTAATTATTACTCGCGGCACAGATTTTGTCTCTTCTAATGGAATTTATCTACTTAATTTAAGGTGCAATTGTTTTGGATCAATTGTTGGGTTGTATTATTACTTGTCTTATTTACCGTACAAAATTACGCTCAAAATTAAGGCATGGAATTTGCTCAATATATATGAGTTTGGCATTTGAGCGTATCAAAAAGTGATATGTGATCGTTAAAATTTAATCAATTTTAATTTAACAGTAAAAATATCGAACAACCTTGAGCCTCATTCAAAAAGGTTTTCTTATATAATGAAGGCATTGGAATAATAATGAATGCTTCATTTAATTTCGAAGTGATGAGATCAAGAATAAAGTTTTTGTAACCAATCAAGATAGCATCGAAAATATTATATTAATTCTTGATAATTTGCGTGCCCTTGATTTTTAATATGTTTTCAATGGCTATTCTGAATCACGAATTTAGAGATCAATAAGCATGTGTTTGTTCTAGAAAAAAAAGTTAAAAGAAGACCACTTTAATTTTTTCAAAACAAGTAGGGTAATACCAACACGTGACAATTAAAGTAATGGTAAACTTTAAAGTTACCAAATAGAATTTTTAGAACGTGTCTTAATTAATATACTTCTAATTAGGATAAGGCACAAGCAGCCCGTAGATTATAATCGAAATTCTAGAGACACACCTTAATTAAACTAAGGTCCTATTTTTTTTTATGACAAGGAAAACCCGCAGCCGCTACCCTTTGGGTGCGCACAGGGTAAAACCCCCGCTCCTATGCAATAGCTCACAAACCACAAAAACTAAGGTCCTATTAGTCCCCTGAACTTACTTTTTTTGTAATTTTGTACACCTTTTGTCTTACGTGGCACACTCCGTGACTCCACGTAATTGAGGCGTGTGGGAGATATTTGGATGTCACGTAAGCGAAAAAGGCGCACAAAATTACAAAAAAAAAAATGGATTCAGGAGGGTAATAAGACCTTAGTTTAGTTGAAGTGTGTCTCTGGAATTTCAGTCATAGTCTAGGAGGGTACTTTTTACCTTCTAATTATGTATGTATATAGCGGCTGTGAATAATTATTTTCTGTAACAAGTTAAACTTACTCACAGGTTTTTTACCAAAAATTAATAAAGTGATAATATAAATAATATAAGTACCATGCAGAAGGTACTATTTTTATTTATTTATTGCTTAAAAAAGGTACTATCATATAGGTTGTTACATGAATCAATCCACGCCTTACTAAATTAGCATAATTCATCACAAGTTGTGATTCACATTGAATTAAACATGATTCACAACTATGACCTAAATCCAATTTAAATCATATATATTGAATCACGAGGTAATTTGATTGGTGAATAAGTTATATCACAGTATAATTAAATAGCGATTGAATTGCAGTTGATATAATTTAAATGCAAATATTTGATTTATGGGACTAAAAATGTGATAAACATTGTATAATGTAAAATATATGCTTTGTTTTACACTAGATAAGCTAAAATTAAGTTTTACTTTCAATTTATTAACCTTATTTGTTTAGAAGACTTTACGTAAGAGAACAGGCCTTGAAGAAGAGCATTTTGGTCATTTTGGTATTTTATCTTGAGATATTAGTAATTTTCAAAATTGTAGGATGAATAAAAAATAATTACATGTGATATGTGTAAATATACACAGTAATAAGTTAAACTAATAACTTGAAAAATAAGACGAAAGACCAACTATAACTTTATTAAAGTAAAACTAACAATGTAAAAATCATTACATGTAAAGGAATATCTCTGATAGCTGGTTAGAGTTATGTTTGTATTAATATCATATTGATTAGTTATAAGGAAATTTATATACGTATAATTTTATACAGAGATTAATTACGTAGGATTTTTTTATATATATTTTAGTTATTCCATCTTCTATCCTACATAATTTAGCTCCTAACTACTTACCAAATGATATGTAAATGTATAGTAGTTATATATTTTTTGTAAGGTGAGAAAAATTAATACAATTGCCTATACATGTAATTAATAGTTACCCAACACTACCAAACACACCCACCCCAATAGACTTCCATCCTACTTGGTATTTATTATGTAATTAAGGAAAACACTAGGAAAGAACAATAATTAATTAAGGTGTTGAAAAATCAGTTCAACCAGATTCATTTTGTATTTTCCACACCATGCTTATTGGGGTCTATACATTAAAAGTGCCACAAAAAGCTACTGCCTCTATCCAACACTAGTTGTTTACTATTGACTTGACACATCTCTTAAGAAACAATAAATTATAAGAATAATATTACTATATTATCCTTTGACTTTATTAAAATTTAATACTTTAAAAAATTTGATAGCAAGGACAAATAGACACAAAAAGTAAATTATCTCTTGATTTTCTAAATTAGACAATTATTTTTAGTATAGTGGACAACTGTTGTTGGACGGAGAGAGTAAGTTACTTAAAATATGTATTTACTTATACAAATACAAAATGAATATACCACATGTTAGGGTTCTTTTTAAAATTTGTAGGTGTTGATTTTATACCTTGTGACATCGTCTTCATGAACGCAACAAATGAAGGCAAATTTGAATATTTTTTAAAAAGAAATAAATGAAGAGTATCACTAATAGTATGAATTTAATGCATGTATATATTTGATTTTTTATTATTTATACATACATTGCTTGAGCAAAAGATTGTGGATGGTGGATCAGCTCATCAACGTGACAACTATCATTTAAAAAATTGAATAAAATTCAAGTCACAAAATATATGTTTGAAATGTTTAATCTACTCTTTGATTTGGCAATTATTTTCTATCGAAAAAGTATATGTTGTCTATGTAAGTTACTTTTTCCTAGTCTAACAACTTGTTATATCGATCGTATTTATAATGTCTTTTAAGGATTCAATATAACTAATTAGATCTACACTGCCACAATATTATTCTATGAAAGTGAACGATTTAAAAGTTTATATTACAATTATTACACAACATCTTAATTAACATATAAGGAAAAAGTTGTAGAGAGAAGTGAACAAAGATGGGAACAGGAGAACAAATTAAGGGTCTTCAACAAACTTAGAAAAAGATGACTAATTGATTAAAAATTAAATTAAACAAAGTCGTCATTAGCTTCAACAATAGCTAAAGCCAAACAAACTTTCAATCAACAAACAAACTTCCCTTCATAATGAAAAAGATGGCTTAAATTATCCCAAAAAAAAACAAAGTTTTTTTTTATCTTAAGCCACTTTTATTAATAATTATAAATAATTAATTGCATTTTTCTAAGTTAACTAGTTAGTTGGCTTCCCTTACACCTTACACTCTTAATTACCCGTTATTATTTATTTATATCATATAATAATCGATACAGTAAATGATATATAGATCTAAAAAAATTCAATCATAGACCTGATGAAATATCGTTTGGTCACATATAACTTAAAATAAATGAAACTTTACCTATTCCTTAGGAAAAAGAAGAATCTAAAAGGAAATATTGTTTGAAAAGCATATGGTATATATAAATATTTAATACTAAATATTTTACTTCATACGTGGTAGTAGTTAAGGAATATTAGATCGATGCATTATATTGTTTAACAATGCACGTTTCTTAATCACGAAAAAGATAATTGCGATTTGGTAGAACTTTTGTCATTTAACTATAGTCACGAGAGGCTAATTGATGATTACACTTCGCCCAACCATTCCTACTTTTTTTTTTTTTTTTGGCTCAATTGCCTAATTATGTATTATAATTAGTGATTGATCATATACATTTAGGGGGAGCTAGTATAGAGTTTTCGGGTTCAGCGAAACACAATAGCTTTAATCGGAGAGAAGCAAGGGGGTTTGTTGTTGGTTCAACCAAACTAAGTTGTTTTGATTTAAATTTTATATTTATTGAATATGTATGAATTATTAATTTAGAATCCATTAATTTAAAAATATTAGAATCCAGAACCAATAAGCTTCAAATTTTGTCTCCATCTTTGGTTTTAGTCCAAACCTTTTGGCTTAAGAAATTTATTAAATATGTACTGTTTATATATTTTGCTTAGAACCTAATAACGTAAAAAAGAACAAAATTCCAAACATAATTCATAAATTTCAAATTTTAACTTATTTTTGCGGATATTACTAAACTTAGCAAAATAAATTTATGTTTGAGGTAATGAGGACCATTTGAGGTCCCCAAAATAAACAAAAAGGAGAAGGCCATCATATAGACACCGCCACATGCATTATCTATACTTTAAATTTTAATTATGCCTTAGC